TTGACAGCTATTGGTCCTGGGAGAATAGGTAGAGTATTGGAAGATTCAGATCAAAAGTGTTTTTTTTTTCTTCTAGTTATTAAAAATTTTAAAAGAGAGAATTGGTACTATTTTTATTACTAAAGTCAAGTCTGCTAAAAGTTACACAAAACCTCATACTCTTTGAAACCATGGAAATAATTACCAAGACAAAACCTTTCCAAGGTTTATGTGCTAGGTGAATGGGTGAGTACATCAGTTACCGCATTGTAATTTTTCAAAGTGTTCTCCTTTTCAGACAGGGACATTATAAACCCAGAGCCCAGAGGTTTGCACCGTGTAGCTGGGGAATGCACTGGTGTCCCTGCCAAGTCCAGAAATAAACCCTAGATGATGTTTAGGTTCAGCATGAAATAAACAATATTTTAGGAAGCAAACAGTTCAGAAGCCAAATAAGGATGTGCAGATAAATGCGACCTCTTTTCTCATTGTGGTGGAAAATCTGGATGCCATTATCGGGGCAAAAGATGTTCTCAAGAGTGTCCCACATCAGATCTGACCCACCCACTTCAAGAAAATAAATTAAAAAATCTTAATCTCTTAATTTGAAGAGAATCTCAAAAAGTATGTGGGAGCTTTGGGTAGCTATTAGGTAGTACTTGATGAGAATATATAAGTATATAAAAATATATCAACATTTTATCCCTACTCGATGGGAATTCTTCATGGCAGGCAAGAAAGCTACAATTTAATAACCAAGCTCAATCTTTTGTTCCTAAAGATTTTCTGCTAAGCAAATTAAACTAAGGAACATTTGAAGGGTAAAAGTTTCCATATGAAGTAGTATACTAAAAATTGCTCCAAAATCAATTATCCCGGTGGGTTTTATTTACAGTACTCCCAAACAGATTTAGAAAACATCGCTTCCCCAAATGCTGACTATGCATTCTTGTTTTACTCTGAAACACAGAGTAGGGGGCCAAGGGGTACAGTGACCTGATGTCAAGAGTCAGTGTTAGCAGTCCACTGATGAAAAGGCTGTGTTAAAACACATTCTAATTGGTGATGGTCACTTCTAACTTAAGAGTGGGTTTTCCTCAAACCTAACACCACAAAATGGGAACTACCATGCAGAAATGTCCAGTGTTTTTTCTCATTACCAGATCATTCTGGCCTAGAAGAGCAATGATTGCAAAATGCCCATGTTCTTCCTAGAATCATAGCGGTCCCCTCCGCTCAGCACAGGGAAAAAGGAGGCAGACTTATGATGTCAGGAGAGAGAAGAACCAACAAGGAAGAATGGGCCACAGAGGGGGTGAGGCATGTAATTGAACCTCAGCTTCTGAGTCCCCATTTTTGCTTTCCCCACGAAGCCACCAGGATTCCTTCCTGGAGACACACCGTCCTAGGTCAGCTAGTCCCCAGAGCTCTGGGACAGCTGAGCAATGCCCCAGGAGCAGAGGGCTGCCCATGGCAATATGAGGCCAGCCATCCAGCTCAGTGTCCTCCTTCCTTTAGATCCCCAGCAAAGCAGTCTGCCATCTGCCTTGTCCAATGCTGATGGGGAGAACTCTGGGTGTGGCACAATCAATGGGCCTTCCTGGAGCTCAGCAGCAGTCACCACATACTCACCACTCACTCCTGCAGCTACACCTCTCTCCAGAATGCTCTCAGACAGGGCTGTCCAGTCCTGCAGGCTGGAGGGTGGACTGGGCCACAGGGCAGGTTCAGCCCTCGGCGACTGCCTGAAGCACTTGCCCTCTGAGCCTGCTCTCTAGAAGTAGCACCTTGTTAAGTTCCTGCTCTTTCCATTTCCTAGATGTTAAGCTCTGTCACCCAGCTGACAGCAGCTGGGCAAGAATTCCCATGATGCCTGGAAGGCTCTACTCTCCTGGGGAAATGCAGGCAAAGGAGGTTTTGTTGGCCAGGGCTAAGCGTCAGTGTGCGAGTGATCATGTGCAGGTTTCACTGAAGAAGAAACTCTGAAGGATCAGCACGGTGAAGGCAGCAGTGCTCAGTAAATGGCAGCTGCGCTCAGGCTGCTATGGTGGACACAAACTTGTGGGAGACTAAATGTTTAAGAGGGACCTGCTTAATGAGACCGTGCCAATGGAGGGCTAATCCATCAACAGCATCAGGCATGAGGAGAAGACAAGATATGTGTAAAGAAGGCAAAGCCCCACTAACAAAGTCAATGGCAGATGTTTCCAGCATTCTTTGGGGGCCACATCTGTATCTACGACATCATCCAATGTTGACATAAATCACTGGTGAAGGTGGTGCTGTGATTCCCACAATGAAGGGATGAGGTAGATATGAGCACATGTGGGAATGGAGCAGTTTAAGTCGAAGCAGCTTTAATGTACATTCTTAGGTGGTGATGTGTTGAGTCTCTCTGCTGAGTGACTCCAACCACAAACTGTGCCCCAAAGACTGGATGGTACCCAAGCTCAGGATCCATGGCCATGGTTCTCCGTCCTTCCCCACCAGCTGCTCTGTCTGTCAAGAAGGCAGGGCCCAGCCCACTAGTTGGGATCATATGTGCTATTTCTGTGCATAGGATGTGAGTAACATATGCCATGCTAAGTCAGACCAGGATGTGAGTCACATTATTATAAAGTATTAAAAGGAACTGATCTTCAAAGCACCTTGAAAGCTTATGCCAAGGTATCCTGCTGCAAAGGAGCTGCAGTTTGAAAGAAACCTGTAATTACAAAGCAAAGGAGAAACTCTGACCAATGGATGACTAGAATTGGCCAAAGGCCTCCCAAGGAAAAAGAAGTGAGTAAGGTTGAAGCTAAATCTAGATGTCTTAAGATTCTGAAGGAAAAAGAAAGACTTGTTATCAACCACATATATCTTACACACTTTGGTCTGATGTAGAAGCAGAGAAAGAGGAGTAGCTAGAAAACGCTGTGGAACATGCGTTTGCTTTACTTTCCTTTTATAACAAAATATTTTACATGCAGACCAACTTTTATAAGACCAAATTAATGGCCCCAAACTGACTGTAAAAAAAGTCTACTATCCGCCTGTTCTGCTCCCCAGTCTGTCTCTGGTGAATCCTCTCACCTCCCCACTGCCCCCCGTACCTCTGGCCTGCACCCCAGCTCTTGTATGCATAAATAAATAAATAAACCTTAAAAAAAGGAGAAGTCTGCTGGCACTAAGGCACAAAGATGTCCATCTGTATTTGCAGAGTGAGTAATTACTAACAAGCACAGTATCCACAAGTTACTTAAACCACATTATGTCCCTTTGATAGAACCCACACAGTTGCTAAAATGAATGACAGGACACTTGTGGTCAACTGTCATGATGAAAATTCTCATTCCATTTCTATTAAAAATGGTATATCTGTATGTGTATAAGACAAAGCCTAGGAAGACTTTTTGAGAGTCGAGAAAACCACTGATAAATGTTATTTGTGACAGAGATTTTTATACCTTATTTACCGTGTGAATCCTTTATAACAAACATTTTTATTAATTTTATAGTGAAAAATAAAACCAACAAAGATAATTATGAGCAAAGAATAGTATTAATCTGCCCTTTTCTAGAACTGCAATATCCATGGAAGCCTGGGGGGCGGCCTAATGGCTCACTGAGTCTCTGATGGAATGGGGGAAGAAAACACAGCAAGGCAGACCTAAGCACCAATGAGTCCCCAGAGGCTGCTAAGTCTGAATCTCTGAAATGCCCACATCTTTATCCCTGTCATGGGCTTCCTGCTCTGGAGTGCATGCTCATGTCCCGATGGCCTGAGTAACTAGACTTCTACTTCAGGAGCGCTGGGGGAGGGCAGTCTGGCCAGAACCCATGGCCATGACGGCAGCCAGGTCACTGTTCAATGACACGCCAGAACTTCTTGACTTACTTCTTACTTGCTTTTCAAGGGGTTATAAAGGGTTATCAGGGAGAACTGACAGCAATTCACAGTTTCATTGTCTTCCTCCTAGCAAAGCCATGCAGAACTCCCTCAAGGGCCAGGGTGAGGGGAACTTGACCTTCTCTGTCAACACCGGACTCCATCCTAATGCGCTCCCGGTCAGGAATGTCCTCTCTCTAAGTGAACTATGTCCTCTGGTCTGCACCAATGGCCCCTTTCTCCAGGAAGGAGGGTGAGACAGCAGGCACATCCGTTTACCCACAAAGGGGTTCTGGAAACAGTTACTGCCTCAGCTTTGTTTTCTGAAGGTTGAAGACATCCAGATGTGTCTCTTCTTTACAAACATTTTCTATTCTCTGTAGATCTCCTTGAAACGCCTTACAGTCCCTCTTTCCTCACCCGAGCTCAGGTAATTCCTACTTAACCCCCTGATACTGGCTCAAGTGTTTCCTCTGAGGAGCCTTTCACACCCTGCAAGGCCAGGCTGGGTCCCTTTACAGTCCCATGTCATAAGGCCTGCGTGTCTGGGCGAGTATCCCAACTCTCATTTTCCATTTATTTCTCTGACGACTTGATTAATGCCTCTTTTCCTGACTAGAATGTTAGTTCCTCCAGTGCAGAAACTGCACGTGTTTTTGCTGCATCCCCAGAGTGCAGTTCAGGGTCTGGTGCCAACTTGATGCCAACAAAGGCTTGCTATCTGAAAGGATGCTGCAGAGGTGGCCGGGGGAGCGATGTGGAGGAGGAAGTGCAGCTGAGAGGGCTTCTCTCCCTGGCTGACCAGCGCGCCACCTGTACTTTTATCATGTGTCCCTAAGTGAATGGCTGGCAGGTGATATGCCCCCTCCTAACCTCTGAACATTGATCTGAGGTGGGTACAGGTAGCAGATGACAGTGATTAAAAGGATGAAAAGGTTATGGCCAAGACTACAGAAAGCTTCCCAGTTGAAATGGCAGCACCTCTGGTGTTATGACCTTGGATTGTTTCTTGGAGCAACTTAAGCTCAGGACCTTGGAGCTGCCATGGGGCACAGGGTAGGTCCAGGCGGAAGGAGAGAAGTAGAGAGGGACAGAAACCTTCCGTGATCATCAAGAAGAGCCTCGGTCAGGTGGAGGCGGGGTGGGAACTGACCTCGGCTGATGCGCTGCTTCTCCCCAGACAGGATGCCGGGGCTGTCGATGATGCTGATGCTCTTCAGGACCTGGTTGGGCAGCTGGGAGCACATGAACCTGGAAGGAACAGATCAAAGGAGGATCAGAAGCAGCACCCCCCAGAGTGCTCTAAGGAGTGCCGTGACTCTGCTACGACATGCCTGTAACATTGGGCGCTCATGGAATGAGCCTGACAGCTCCTCCACTGGTGCTGTGGACACTGGATACTGGTCTATGGATGATGCCCTGGCACCTGCAGTTACCTGCCACCAGCTACTTACCGTCAGCTAACATGTAACGAGCACTTAGGTATTTTACAAACATCATTCCATTTGTTCCTCAAAGTAATCTCATAAGGAAGGTTAGCCTGAGAGAGGTTAAAGCTGGGCCTTAACCCAGGCCGGATTGACTCCAAAGCCCATCAATGTCACCTGCCTCTCCTCCATGCTATTCCTGGGCCAAGCAGCTTAGGTTTCTCCTCCCAGGGGATCTTATGCCTCTTTTGGGGTGACTGCCTCACTGGGCTGGAGGATCCAGCTCCTGCCTAATCCCTAGTATGACAGCGGAGGTACCAGGACCTGGTTTTACTGTCTGATGCCCCAGGGACTCAGCATCCAGCCTGGGGCCTGTTATGGCCTCAGGGCCAGGTTGGAGCAAGCACTGTGGGCAATACTACAAATCTTCCAGGTGCTTCAGTGTCTTAGGGGTGCCCTAAGAGCAGACAAAGGAGCAGGGCTGAGCTTTTCCAAGTCTTCTGCCTTTTCTATTACTTGCTTGATGCCTTCTCATTTGCCCCCCTCCATCCCCCAAGACTTTGCTAGTATGTTGTTATGTGCATCTGGAAAGTCCCTCCTCACCCCCTCAACACCTCAGGGAAGGATGATGGACTGTTTTATCTGGAACACCGTGTCACTCTAGAGTAGCAGAAGGAGATACTTTGTGACTTCCACCCAGGATCAGAGCTGAGGAGGAGCTCTGTTAGGCCCTGTGTATGTCTCAAGGTGGAAAAAATAATGGCTCTCCTTTTCCTGTATTGTAAATGGCCAACTTCTGTATCTACGCGGGCAGAGAGCTTCAGAATGCTTGGTGAAAACTCACTTCTTCCATTCAGTGGGACTGGTGGGGATTACTCAGAAAGCAAGAATGCTCGGAATGCAGGACTGCCCGGCCTTCACAGCCACATGTGGCCCATGTGGCCCCAGGGGCAGCAGTGGGCAGGCCCCCCCCCCCCCAGCAAAAGGCGCAATTTCAACATTTCAGAGTAACTTTCTTTGAAGGTGCTTTACACTCCTAAATTTTCAAGTCAGCCCAGGGAGATGCAAGAAAAGAAATAGCACGGTCATTTTGCAGCTGGAAAAGCTGGGAGTACCAAATAGTGATGACGTCTCTAGGTCATGCCACTGACCACGACTGGGATTTCTGATGTCAGGTGAGTAGACACAACCCCCAAATTTAAATACCTCATAATGTTAAAAATACATGGTCAAGCTAATATAAGAAAAGCCCCTCGCCTCCCCGGTGGCACAGCGGTTGAGCGCTGGGTTGCGAAGCTGCCAGCGGCCTCTTCGGCGCTGGTTCGATCCCCGGCTGCTCCCCGGCCACCGGAGGAGGGTCCCACATGGCGCGCAGACCTCTCCTGCCGCCCGCTGCTCCCTTCAGCAGTGTACTTCGGTCCTTCTGCCTGCTCTGCTCCCCGCTCTGGCTCTGGTGAATTCTCTCACCCTCTCGCACTTCTGACTGTACCCAGTGCTTGTATAAACAAAACAAACAAACAAATAAATAAATAAAACATGCCTCTATAAAAAAAAAAAGAAAAAGAAAAGCCCCTCATTTTTTAATTTTCTCCTGCCCCTCACCTTTAAATAAACCCCCTCCACTCCCCAACACTCAAGAGAGTAGGTCTACGAGCACAGGAGGGTCACTAGGCATTCTACGCAAGTGCCTGAGGGAAAATCGCACATTCCATTCTCTAGACTTGGGGTAGGGACAGAGTTCCGAGGCCCTCTGGGGCTCATGTCAGTAGTGATTCTGTCTCATCAGGCCCCATCCTTTTTACCAGATGGCTTGAGACATTTGGCAATATTGAAAAATTGTTCAAATGTGAAACTATTTTACATTAAGTATTCCTCTGAGAGGCTAACCTTTCCTCACAAACACAAAGTTACACTCAATAGCAATTATTCCAAAACACAAAACCCCTGGATTCCAGTGTGAAGTTCACAGAAGGATTCAAAATGTAGGAGTTGTCTGTTCACTCTGTGCAGAGAGAGACACAGGACAAGATGTGGGATGTTACCACACAACAGACAAGGAGCAGGCCGGGGGCCAGGGCAGCTGCAAAAAGAGAAGGGGCGAGCAGGAGGCCAAGAGGGAGAGGAGGAGGCTGGTGGAGGAGCACGGGAGTGGGAGGGAGAGGAGGGAGTGGGGAATTCTCCAGGGGCACCCCAAAACAGGGTGGGCGGGGCTGTGTGTGCAAAGCTGGGCTGTACTTGCTGACAGAAAGTGTGCTGGGGGGTGTTGGGAGGTGAGCAACAGAGCACAGTCAGTTTCTGGCCCCAAGTGGGGGCACAGCTCATGCTCCAGTTAGAACCACACGTACTTACAGTTATACTGCAATCAGAAAAAATACCCTAGGATGCTGCTGCTGCACTTAACTTTTACGCTGGAAGAGAGGAGGGTGAAGAGCTAGGTTTTTTTATTGGGTATATGGCAGTCAGTCTGGGGTCAGGTCTTCCCATGTACTAGTGTGTCTGCTGTCCCAGGACGGGTACCCTGCTCCCCCTGAGGGCGGGACACACTTGCTTCTACCTGCCACGTGAAGTACCAAGACCTGCACTGGTGAAGCCCAGGAGCCTCACATTAGCTTTTGGGAAGCGTCTCCTCACCTAGAGATGACCTACTACCTTTTATTTCTGATGAAAGGAGGGGAGAAGGGCATCAAGCCCTATACTAGACCCCCATTCCATGTCGCCCCCATAAGCAAGGAAGGCTCAGGGGTAGAACACGGTGGTGGGGAAAGGGTGGTCCATACCACAAGGTCTCAGGAAAACTGGGGGGTGTCATTCTGCATAATAAAAGAGAGGTGAGCGAGAGGGTGCTGAGGTTGCCCCCAAACACTAACATTCCCATTCAATGATGGGCATTTTAGAACAATCAGGCAGTACCTTACTAGTGCTTTTCATTTCCAAACAATGCAGGGATAGCTAATAAAAATAACATAGGAGCAGGAGCACGGAGTGACGAGCTACGGTATGGGGCATCTCCACACACATGAACTATTTGAATCGTGGCCACAGCCTCAGCGGGGGGCTGTGTGCTGCCATTTTACAAAGGACGAGACAGAGGGCTCAGCCCCACAACTTGCTAAGTTACATGGCAGGTAAGTGAGGGAGCTGGGGTGCTAACCCCTGAGGGCAGCACCCAGGTGCTTGTCCCCCAAGCTGTTGCTACCATTTCCTGCACTTGAACTGCCCCTGGGTGGAGCTCACAGGAGGGCAACATCTAAACAGAGGAACGGCGTGCGGAGTCCCTGGAACTCCCACCAAGGAGGCTCCCCTGTGCCACCTGCTTTCTACCTCCTGGGGCAGGTGAAGCGGCGACCAGGAGGTGAAGATTGGGCTGTTGCCCTTGCTCCCTCACCTTGGGAGACTGCAGGTTTCTGAGCAATTCTACCAGCCCAAGGACCCCGGGTTTGCCATTAGCTTCAAATAAACCTATGCTTGCGATGCAGAGGGTATGTTTCAAATCACCTCTTTCCACGAACTTTGATAATTATCACCTGGTCCTACCATAAATGACCGATCTAACCTTCCACTCCCCAGGAAGAATTTAACGCCACATCTAGTATAAATTAAGTTCACGGTGACCACTTAGATGGGATCCTAATAAAATTACCATTTTTACAGGTAAAAGATGAATACTGGCATTGTATCTTGCTCAACCTATATATGTACTTTTCTGCATCAAGCCTCTCTCTTCCCACTGCCCTGGGGATGCTGGGTGCAGCACAGTGGTGCAAGGTGTCTGTCTGAGTCCAGGAATCAAGCAGTTTTTTGGACTGTCCGGGCCAGGATGGAACAGGCAGCTGCCAATAAGTAACAATGTTTCATGTCCTGGGACCCTCCACAAATCCTGAGGTTAAAGATTAATGAGATGCACTTCAGGGAATTTGTTATGGATAAACACACCATTAAAAAAAAAAAGTTACTCTCTCAGATAAAAAACAAACAAACAATTTTGCTGGTGAATCAAGAGTGATTCTTGACAAGAGCTATTTTCCTTTATCTCTGCAACTAAAATAGCTGCAGGTGTTTGGACTGATGCTGTGTATTTATATTAGGTTTGTTTTTTAAAAAATTCCCAATAGTACTAGGTGACTATGTAATACTTAAAACTCCAAATGAAGCCTTATTTAATTACAAACACAGAGGTAGCAAATGAAATGTAAGTCCCAATGGATAACCATGAGTCTCATTGCTAAATCCTTACTGAAACCTAAGGCGGTAGGATCCAGCATCAGCGTCATTCCTGCCTGGCTCAAATGACAGGAATGCTGGAAATGCAACAGAGTGGTCCCTAGGAAAAGGTTCCTGCCCAAGGCAGGGTGGAGCTGAGCAGAGAGGAGACTGAGGAAGGGAGGAAGCAGGATGGAGAGCAATGAGGAGACCTGGAGGAGGCACATGGAGCAGGGAGACATGTGAAGAAGCTGCACTTGCTTTTTGGTCCTGGACTGGTTGAAACAGATGCTCATGGGGAGGATAACAATGGCAGCTTTTATTTTGATTTCGCTCTTCTCCTCCCAGACCTGTCTGACTTTTTCTGGCCCTTTTCTGTGGGTCCCCACCAGAAGGTGCTTTTTAGACTTGTGGCAGGCTTTTGGGCCTTACTCTGGGCCAATCCTGTTTGGCTGGACTTTTACCCATGAGGGGATGGTTAATTTTGGGCGCTTGATTTGGAAACTATATTCTCTGTCTTTTCTGTATTGCACACTAACTGTATTAAAGTTCCTTTCCATTAAAGGTCTTACCATGTTCTGTCTTAATGCGGTGGATGGCAGAACCTATTTAGAGCAGGCAGGTTTGAGGGTTCTGGGGTGTCCCTCTCCCTGCCCTGTAACAGAAATACTGTTCAGATTCCTCAAACTCTAGAGGAAACTTCAAAATTTCAATTCCTTGGGTCAGTGATTAAAGTTATTTTTCAAAAAATAAAAGAGACAATGAAGAAGCAAATGAGATTAAGAATGGAATACTACAATTTAAAATTATACTAGATTCTAAACCAAAACCAGTGTAACTATCTGAAGTACAAAAAAAAAAAAAAAAAAAGACTACCATTTTTAGAAAAGTAGATTGAGAGGAAAACACAACATCCAATTGAAAAACAGAGGGAAATGTCAGAAGCCATCACAGACATTCTTGGAATTAACCAGATTATGCAGGCGCCCCCCCAGGACCTGTGCCCTTAGGGTGCTGTTGGGTATGTCCGGCTCCTCCTCTCTAAGATGGAACTGCCTCTCGATAACAAACTTTTGGAACCTTGACGACCACATTCCCCTTGGAGGAACTCCAAGTCAGGCCAGCCTGTGGAATTCCTCTCCAAAGGCAAGAAGCATGCTGGAGTTTCAGAATGTCACACTCGAGTCATTTCCATAGACTGCTTTTGTTCTAGACTCAACTCCTTTTAAAGTTCAAGTATGGAATTTCTATCATCTGAAGCTGCTTTTGGGGGAATTTATCTTCATTTCCAAGAATGCACTACAGACTTCCTGTTATTTTCTTAGAAACCAGCCTTGGTTTCTAAGGCTGGTGAGAAGTCAGGCTCCACAGGTTTGCCTAATGCTTTGAGGCTATGTTACCATCACCATCTTGCAAAGTACTAAACTATGTTAAAGATGCCCCTCAGGGCAGATGCCCAAGCCAATACCCTGTAATGAGAGGGCCAGGGTAATGATACCTATTCCAGGGGTGGCTGGTGGTTACCCCAGGGGAAAAAGTTCTCTATAGCAAACAACCAATTCTTTTTCCTACTAAGTATTGTATTTTGACCTAGTTCCCAGAAAATTATGCTGTGTAAAAAGAGTTTGCCTGCCTAGAGCTGACTCCGCCGGTTCCCAGAGGGCTGCTATAATTACACGCACACATTTGCGCGCCCTACACGGACACCCTTCCTTACATAAAGGCTGGGCAAAACAGCAGCACTGACGTGTAGAAACAACTTCATCAGGCAACAACTTCATTCTTAAGTGTACTATTAATTTACATGCTCTGTATCCTATATGTGTGTGTCACGTATGCACAGTGGTCAGGACAGAACTCTGTGCCAGTGAGTTGTGAGGTGCTGCATGGTGGTAGGCAGAAGGGAAGAAGAAACCTTAACTCTAGTCCTGAATCTGCAGCTTCCTGAGAGTCACTGTACTCCTTTGTGCTCAGTTTTCTCATCTGTTAAGTGGCCACAGTACTGTCTGTCTTATTAACCCCCCCCAAACATAGTGTATATGCAGTTATTAATCTATGACTTGGGATATAATCATCCTCCTCCTCATCACTGTTGGAGACAGAGGTGGATTAAGGCGAGCCCTGTTAAGTTAAACAGAAGGCAGCAGGCAATGGTTCTTCGTCCACACTGAGCTCAGTGTAGTGGACTGTAGCAGAGCCCGGGTTCCAATCTCAACGCTGCCACTTATCAGCTGAGAGAGTCTGTGGAAGTGAAATTAACCTCTCTAGGCATCAATCCCTCCTCTCTACAATGGGGATAATAGTGGCACAGGTCACAGGGGTTTTGTGAGGATTCACAGAGAACATACAAGTTTACAATAGTATCTGATACAGTAAATATTCATCTGTTGTGTGTTTGAGATGTGAAAAGAAAGGATTGTTAGAAAAGCGAATCATCTGCCAAAATAAAACAAGCCAATGGTCACTCTTTCTGGTTCTTTCTGTGTAAAATATGGACTTCACAAAATGGGAACTTGAAAAAAGTGGCACCTTCTTTTTTAAACTATTGTCAGGCAAGAAGAGCCTATGGCTAAGGGCAGGGGTAATGAAGCCACAAAATTCTAAGCAGCATTTCATGGAGAAGGGTCCTGTGCACTGCATTTTCCAACACCTCCAGGACATTTCAGCCTTGGGACTGGAAGTCTGGCTGCTGCCTACCCAGGAATCATCCCTCCCTGGGAGGCCCTGAAGAGGCAGTCTCTTGTTCCACTTCCCCTGTGGTTCACTTGTCCCACCCGGACTCAAGCCGTCGTTCTCTCACAGGGGACACTCTGGAACAACCCAGATGCTCTGGAGTCGAGGAGTGAACTCTTAAAGAAGAGAACCCTGAAGGCTGAAAACTCATCTGGTGATCTGTGGTGGAGGTTTATGTGGTGGTGGGTAGAGTGTGTAACCCATCTGAGGAGGTGTAACCCTAGATCCCGAAGTCATATACAATGTTGTAAACCAATGTTACCTCAATAAAAAAGACATAATTTTAAAGAAGTTTGAAGACAAAAAAAACACCACAAAAAAATTAAGGAAGTGATTTGAGGAAGCCTTAAAAAAAAAAAAAAACCCAAAATGAAAATGCTCATCTGGGTAATACTCTGCAAATCACTGTCTGCAATAAGATGGCTGCCTCTGTAACTCCACTTGCATCACCTGTGCCTCTTTATTTACCCTACTGCCATCTGGATGCTTTCTTTGATTTGCAACAGAAGCATGAAAAAGCCCCTAAAGAAGATTCCAGATCCCTGGAGAGTTCCCTGAGTACCCCTGTGGAGGCTCCTGGGCCACCCTTGACAGGGCCACCACACAGCACACTGGCATCTATTTCATTCCACGTTCTGTGTGAGCGGCACCTCCTGAAGTTGTGCAGTGAGGCACCTCAGCCTCTGGGGGGATGGCAGTCAGCTGTGAGGAGCCATCCTTATTTTTTAATACATCTAAGAGGAGACGTGTGGTTCAAATCTCTGTCAGCTCTCGTCCCACCTCTTCTGGAAGGAGGCTCAGAGGAACCCTCCCTGGCTCCTCCCACTCCCCCAAACCCACCAGCCTAAAGCGAGAGACTCACAGAAGAGCAGAAACCAAAGAGAAAAGAACTTTAAAAAGAGGCTAGGGGGGATAAGAGGTGCAGATTTTGTCTGAAAGAGAAGCTGCAGGCTTGTCCTCTGATCCCATACCCTTCTGTTTCTCTGGGAACCGGTGAAAGATTACTGGGTGATAAAATAAAACATCTCCAATTAAGACAGAACCTCATATCCTACAACTGCACATGACCGTGTCACAATATTAACTTTTTATGTTGTTTTGACTCTCTTTCTCCTGTTCTGCATTAATGAATTAGGAAGCAGCTGAAGGCATGGCAGTAAAAAGCCTAAGGGACAGCCAGGGAGGTGAGGTGACCTGACATAATAAACAAACTGAATCTGGGTGTCAGGGGACCTCAGGGGCTGCTGGGCTAAGCTGTCTGTGCAGGAGGCTCCAGCACACTGACCCTGTGGCCACCCAGCACCACTTAACAATGCTCACAAGGCAATTGGATCCATTTCTATGCAGCTCAGAATATTAGATATTTGTTCTTTATACTGTGGGGGCCTATAATGTTCAATCCTGGGCCTTAGCTCTGCCCACTGAAGCCATTCAGAATAGGTATAAATGATCATTTCTATGCTATTTACTCTTGCAAGTATTTGACAATGATAAGCATATTCTTTATAAGTTCCTTCTTCTAGAACCCACATACTCTGATCTTCTGTTTTTGCACCTTTACATGTAACTGGCAAGAATTCAAAGAAAGGGTTTAAATAATCCAACCAAAGATGGCAGTTGGCTGGTCCTTACCGATTCAGGAAAGCATTTCCAAAGCGACTAAGTTTTCGAAACGGCTTTTTGGGGTCCACGACTAAAGCATTCCCTGGGGTGTTGCCCTCGGTGTCCCCATACATCACAGCAATGAAGGAATCAGTGGTGGGCTCTGGACCAATCCTCATGCCTGGGAAATCTTGCTCCAGTAAGTATCTGGGGGAGGGAAAGAAAAAAGAAGCTTAGCATGTTGTCACAAAGCAAGAGGCCAGAAAGTTTCCTGAGGCCACCGATTTTGAACATAATTATTTAAAAACCTTGAAACAGAACCTCAAATAAAGGATAATGATTGGCATTGTTATTAATATTTTCGCTAATATAGAATTTTCAAAACTTAAAATCTATGGACTTATGTTTTCCCCCAGTGGAGATAGTCTGGTGAAAAAGCTCAGGCTTTTTGCAGACTTACTGGGCCTTCTGAAACTGCTCATCCAGGCAATGCTTGTTCATGGTTCCATTGGTGCAACAGACCCCCAACACCCAAGGGAAGTGCACCCTACCAGCTCCTGCGCATCCTGGAAGACCCTGTTTAGGCCCACCATTGACCTGTCCCTCCAGTGTTGGGGGCCACCTCCTCTGTGATCCCAAGGCCATGATGTGCTCACCAGGGTCCTGCACTTCTCTGTGCATGGGCCCCTGCAGGCAAGCCCATGTCTGCCTACATGCACACCTCCAGCACGCAGCACCGTGCTGGCCACAGGAGGTGCTCAGTGTGGTGCGTGGGACAATGAATGATCTCCTTCCTTGTCACTCCCTGACAATCAGTAAGGCCAGCATGTACTCCCTTGTGCATTTTACAGCTTCCCCTGAGCTCCTGGAGGTCATGACCATAGAAGACAATCTCCAAAGATTGTCTTAAGCAGCAACAGAGGGTGCGATAGGGGATTAAGGTGAAGGGGAGGGGCTCAGATTAGATTTGCCAGGGTCTTCTCTGGCCCTCGTGCAAATTGGAAAAAGATGCTCCTTCCTCTAGGCAGACACGGTTCACCCCTTGGCAAGTAGGACTCTAGGTGGATTTTATTTATCCATCCTCGCACCCTCGCCCCACTCCCCACCGAGCCCAGGTGCCTTATGTAGTTTAATCTGCACAACTGTATACAGTAGCCCTAGCAAATGCCATGAAAGTGCTTATTTAGGGATCTGAGGAGACAGACTGAAGTGATATGGGGCTAAGACTCCCTGACTCACATGGCTGGGATGGGGTACTGGAGCCAGAGGCAAAGCAGAGGGAAAATCTACTTTCTGTGTCTGAGTCTTAATGCAGCACTTGCCAGCATGTCATTCAGCTGAGGTCATGCAGAGCCCATCCCTCTCCACCAAGACTTCCTTCCCATAATGCAAGAACCTGCGCTCATGTTTATTTATGTATATATGGAGTGGGGGGCAAAGATGGCTTCCTCCTTCCTTTGCAACCAAGGGAGCATAAAGAAAGGAATATATCCCACCCACAGCCAAACAAGAGGTGGAAAACCAACACCTTCAGAGAACACTTGATAGTGACTGTGAACAGGTCCTAGAGCAGGAGAGAATCCCTGTCTGAGCTGACTAGGGCACAGCCAGGCCCAGCCCAGAAGGGAGATGACCCCCCACCCTGCTGAAGAGGTTCAAAGGCAGGAACCTGCACAACTTTCTCTAGTTCCTCATTCCTGAAGCTAACACTCTGTTTGGTCCTAAACTGTATCTCTGTTTCTAAAATGCCCTGACTGACCACAGCCCAGCATCTGTGATTCCATTTCCAGGCAGAGAGGGACTAGGATGAACTCTCAATTGCCACACACAACCCTGCTATCTTTCGAAGAGTACGAAATGAAGCCACTCTTTAGATCTCTGTTTTCTACATAAATAAAACTGAAACTGTTTAGCAACCTTAGCAGGCTATATTCTAAAACTTTAGCTATTTTCACTGTTAGTTTTAACTTCGCCTTAAGTTTCTTCATTTCTGTGAAGCTGTGGAGCTCCAGAAGAGAAACAGCACTTAAACATGACTTAGAGTAGTAAATGTGGAGAAAAATCAGATAACACAAGCATTTTCCAAGTTCTCACTACGTGACATGGTGAAAAGCCCTTTTCATGCATGACTGTCTCCTTGAATCCCCAAAGACGCAGAGGCAGGTTCTAACATCACTCCCATTTTACAGTAGGGAAACTGAGGCATCAGAAAGGCTAAGTAACTTGCCCACAGTTACACAGTGTTCGACTGGAAATGGAACATGGGCAGTGGATCCCAAGTCTTGTGCTGTCTCCAGATACGTTTAAACCCGGGTTCAGCAGGTGATTGCTCAGAAATGAGGAGAGTTCAGGACCACCAGAGAGGAGGCCGCACGCCCCATATTCTGTCAAAAGTGAGGGAACAGCCTCCACTATCCCCCTTCACAGTTGTTGGGCTGCCCTGCACACGAAGGGCCAGCTCTCATCCTCCCTGAGAAAAGCCGAGGACAGGAGGTTATTTGATCAAAACATGTTCAATTTTTTTTTTTTTTCACTTTCAAAACGTTTTCAGGCACCTAGTACCCTCACAAGCAGAAATGTTCATGTTTACAAATTCTTATGATATTCCATGTGAATCTTTGAAATACTGGGTAAAATACTGCGAGAGCACCTCACGTTTTACAAATCTCCAGCACACAGAGTGCAGATCGTGTGTGTGGGTTTCATGTTCACAGATGAATGGGCAGATTAAGTTTTACAGCCGAGTAAATGTGGGATCTCAAGTCTGGAGTCATTCGCCAGCAAAACGAGGATTCAGATCCAGATCCCAATCCTCCCACATCCAGGGTGGTTTCCGCGACCTGGACCCTGGGCCAGGCTATGCCAGGAGGCCCCTGGGAGAGTCGGAGGAAATGAAGACAGTGGGGAGAGGGGTGCGGAAGGACGGCAGCCAAGGTCAGCAGGCTTCCCGTAGCACACTGTCCTCCACTCACAGAAGGCTCAGGTCAAGTGTTGGTTTGAAAGCTGACAAGCATTTTCACGTAGAATGAATGTTAACAGCAACACCTGGTTCGCTAAGACAGCCTACAAAGGGTCACACACTAGTGAACTGGAGGGGCCAGACAAGAGCTGTAGCACTAACTTTCGGGGGAAAGAGCTCAGTGTTGAGATCCTTGCTGGGTCGTTCTGTTCTCTGCAATAGGCCCTTCCCCAGCACCTTCACCGGCTCTGGGGGCAGGGGAGCCCTCCAGTCCCAGGTGTGAGGTGGTGATTATGGGGATTCGGCAAGGGTGTAGGGGTGTGGATGCTGTATTTAAGCAGGGAGTCCCCCGCAGGGCAAAAACTCCCAAGTAAAGTGTTTAAGGTAGGCCACTGTTGCCAAGAAATGCCTGAATTGCTTTCTGACCATTTATATAGAAGCACAGCACACCCAACTCGTTTTGGAGTAACAGGGTGGGTTTCAATGAAAACCCTAAAATATGAAACTGTTTAAAGAAGAACAGGTGCTTCTTTCCAGCTCTTACTGTAATAGAAGCTAAAATTCCCTAAGTAGCAACCCTGGCAGACAGAACTTTAACTAATAATTATTTTTAAAGTAGGCTGTTAATGTGACTCAGTTTGAAATAAAAGATGTCCCTGAACCGTGACCCTGGAAAGTCATTCAATTTCTGGGTCCCAGCCACAGAATAACCAGAATGAGGATGAATTGTTGGATCATATAGACTGCTTGCATGATGACTTTGCTTAGTAAAACTTTCTCCCACAGGAATTAAAAAGCCAAAATTAAATGTTCAATTTCATTATCAAAGTAATACCACTGAAGAGATAGCATATTAATAAATTTTAAAACTGTGTAGTAATGTTGGTGAAGGGACAGTGAAATAAGCGTCCTTGTGTTGGTGGAAGACTAAGTTGGTGTAACTTCAATGAAAAGCTATGTGATACGCCGTGTAAAGCCTTTAAAATGGGAGTAATTCTACTTGGGGAAATACATCCATAGGAAAAATCCTGGATAACCCAATTTTTTTTTTGCATGAAGATATCCACTGCAGCACTACCTCAATCTGAACAAAATCAGGAGAAAAATGCATGTTCTCTTTCTGAGAGTTCCTATCCACAACATAAAAGTACCATCCTATAATTCAGAAATCTATGACTTTTCTTACTTATTCCCCTGGTAGAGTGTAAAGCCTGGGAAGCAGGACTTTCTGTCTTCTCTGCTCACTGATGCTTTCCACGTGCTTGGAACAACCTTGGGCACATGTCTTGAGTGCTCAACAAGCACTTGGAGCAATAATGTAAGTGTCTAAGCACACTGGCCTTTGCACTGCCTTTCCGATATGCCGAGGCCATTCCAGCTCGGGGTTGCCTGGCACCAGACCTCTGCACATCAAACAGCATTTCCTGAGCGAGACCTTCCCTGGAGCATCCTGACAAAAGAGCTCTCTCTCCAGCCTGTCTGACGCCCCTGTTCCCCCCTCCCCTCAACCCCTCTTGGCACTTAGTCTCTGAAAGATCCCACATGACTGTCCTGTTATCATCCCAGAATGCCGGGAATACCTACAGAGAGGGGCCCTCGGCTGCCTGGCTCGCCACTGGGTGTCCAGTGCATCTAACGGTGCCGGGCACGTAGGAGATGCAGAACTCGTCTCTGGACTGGCTGACTTTCTCTCTGTCAGTCAGGTTCTGCCCTCCTTCCCTCTCCACCTCTTTAGCACTCATCTGTGATAAAGATGTGGGCTCTGCTGGCTCCACACTGCCCAGCTGCCTCCCAGCCTCCCTGTCCTCCACCTGCCCTGGAAGTGGAGATTCTTTTGGTAAAGCACCACCTTCATCACCTGGCCTTCACTAACAACCCAGTCCTGCCCATGAAACTTCTGCCTGTGGACCCCATAAGCCACCCCCTTCTACCTAGTGGTCTGGGCTCTTGCTCCTCCCCTAGCGTGGACCTCTTGCCTCCTTGATTAGTCTCAGAAATGCTCCTGTCTTCACTTCTTCACCTCCTCTGTCTGGTGGGGAGTCATGTCTCATGATTTCTATTATCCATTCTTTAAGTCGCTTTACAAAATGCCACCTCCTTCAGGGCAGTCCTCCCTCATCACTCTAAGACCTCTCTTGAGTGGCTACTCCCTGGCTCTCCTTTTCTTGTGGAGCTTCTAGTATTGGAACCCTGGATGTTGGTGAGCAACTGGTGATCCTTGTGGGCCAATTTCCTCTCCTCTGAGAGG